CCAGTCCTGCTGCCACCACCGTGATGCCCGGGCATGTTCTGCTCTTAAAAGCACCCGCTCCTGCCCTCTGGCACCTGTTTTTAGCAAGAAGATGGAGAAAGACAAACACATGGAATGGAGAAAGCTTTTGTCTTGAGACAAAAAGGGAGACCTTAGTGCCAGGGATGCAGCAAAACTGCATGTAGTTGACTGGGGGTAGGCGGGCACTGAGCAACAGAAAATGGGTACTATTGCCTTAGCTCAACATTATGGAAGTGGCTCATTAGGTATGATGTGTTTACGTGATTAGTCTTAATTTTGGTGCCTGCGTAAGTATTTTAATATACACAGCGTTTTAGAAATACCTAAGCTCATAGTCACTTCAATCTCCCAGACACAGTCTTTCCATCTCAAAAAAACAAATAAGCCAATAAACTGATTTAGAAAGATGTCTCTCACCCATGTTTGCTTTTGCTAAGAATTCAATGAAGATCTCTGAGATCTTCACAGAAATAATTATTGGTGTTAATGAGTAAGGTGAAGGGACACAATGGCAGTGATGTAGAAGCTTAAATAATACAGTGATTTATAGCTTGCTTCAAAGTTGATGCATCCATGATAGACTAAAGCGCATAAGGAACCCAGAAGTTGGGATTCATTCCATCCAAATTTGCTCTTTAGAAGTTGTCCAAATTGCCAAGGGAAGGGCAAAGCAAACAAACCACTAGTTGAGATGCTCAAATGTAAATTTATTTCCCTTGCCCTTGGGATGCCAAAACATTAACTGATTGCTTTTGAGTTAATGATCGCACTTCTCGACTCCTATGTCACTTTGATCCTTTTGAAAACATTGCTCAGTCATTAAGGWTTTTGATATTTTTTTTCCTTTTTCTAACATTATGTCCAATCATTTTGAAAGTTCTTATTGCTTTCTTCCAAATTGTATAATTCTAATTTGCTTCTACGCAGAAGATACTGGTATGTAAAATTTAGCTGCATTTATTTGGATCTCTTGTATGCTCATAAAGAGAACTGTTTACCCATTTTTCAAATATTCCAAATAACCCCACAGAACTGTCCTGTATACATATTTATTGCTCACAATATGACAGAAAAAGCACTGCAGAACCACTTGGATTTTTATTCATCTTCTTTTCCAAGCAATTAACTTCCTGTTTTTTATCACAGTACAGTTTTTTTTTTATTATTCCTTGAAATTGATTACTCCAAGAAAGATAAGAAACATTAGACTTCAAGACTGCCACTCATGCATACAGCTGTCATATAAAATTTATAAATATTTCTAATAAAAAAAAAACTTTAAAAGGCAACTTATTTTTCCTTGTACTGTTTACTGCTCGTCTATTTGAGAAATACTATTTTGTGGGTGTCTGAGGAAGGAAATTGAGAACATCACACGTCCAGAATACCTCAGTGGTATTTCTACGAACTCTGTTTACATGACCTGACCACACAAGAATTTAATATTTTTTTGGTCTACCTCTAAAATTAAACTGGTGCTGAAATGATAACGGTCAGTTATCTGGATTGAATTTTTGCCTATCACATTGGAATAATAGTCCTACAGTATTACCTGCAGTTAAACATTAAGGAACTGAAGTTCATTAAACAAGCAACATGTCTTAAACTTTATGCCAAGAGATCCAATATCTTGATCAGGTGATTCTTCATCATTGCATTTTTATTTTGAAATTAATGTGCATTATGAATAAACACGGACTGACACAAGTATGTTGTTTAAAATCTTTTCAGGGATTTTAAAAAAAGAACGGACAGCTCAGGAAAAAGATATATGTGAATAAAAATGTCTCCAAGCTGTGTAACATGCACAATACATGGCCTTTTTCAAAATAATTTTTGCACGTGTGATTCTGTATTCTCTAGTGTTTGCATTCCTTTTTTTTTTTTTTATGCTACTGTTGTTCAAGTAAAACTGTTGAGCTCGTATGCTTAAAATTAGGTTTCTAAATCATGAAAGTAGATGCCTATTCAAAAAAACAATGGCATTCATTAATTTTCTAATTTATGTAAGTATACAGAACTAGCTTCAAATCAAACTGGGTATATTCATTTAGATATATCAAATAGATATACCACAGACAGTCATAGTTGCTTCTATCTGCCTGTGGTGACAACAGAGTATGTTGTCAAGGTTGATTTAATGAACGAGTCTATTTAATCAAAATCAGCATGATGCATGACACTTGTTATGGATTTTTTTTGGCTAAYAAATGAAGATTCTGATTGTTCAAAATGTTTTATGAATGTGTCCACATTTATGAATTGTTCCAGTAAAGAAAACAAAATTCTCCAGTGTTTCTCTAGAAATATTATATTTTGGGGAGCTTTTAAACTAACATTTTCAAAATGTACCTTCTAATTTTTATTTACCTGAATTTTAAGCTTATATAGTAATTTATCTTAAAATTCTATCTTATCAAAATATACAGTCAGAATAGAACCCTCTTTTTATTTTTCTTTGCTTTTTGAAAGTTTAAAAAATGTTTATGTCTGTTGACCCAACAGCTTCCCCTCTGGCATATCTCCACGACCAAGAGCCACTTACAGAATTCTCTGCCAGAAACCGAGACTAACAACTAGATCTGTCAAAATCAAGGTGTAATAAGCTTTTCAATTTGCCAAAAAGAGAAATGGACTGTCCTTAATGCTTGCTAGAGAARTAAAGTGAAAAGGAATGAGGAAAAAAAAAAAAAGAGATTACAAATGTACCCCATTTTCCAACTCGGCCGAAAATGATAGGTCATGAAATGACAGGAAAAATTCTAGGACATTATTCCAGCACTAAATTATATACTGCCCTGTCAGAGATAAAGGTCCTGTTAGAAAACCAAACCTAATCCAAAATTTACTACTTTAAGAAGACCTCAGTATGAGAAATGGAGACATCCTATACTTGGTGGCAATGAATCAAGTTAAGAACCAGTTTTGACCACAATTCTCCTACAAGAGATTTAACACTTGGGATAGGTTGAGAGGATGACAATCTTATTCATCCTGTGACAACAACAGTAAATGATCCCTTGACTATGATAATCATTTTTTAAATCCAATGTAGCAAGTCCTATTTTTATGTATGGATTCCATTTGTACTGTCATTGATAAAGGAATTAATTAAGAGTAAAAAGATGAAAGGGAAATATAATCAATCTCCTTCAATCACTATGCCAAGAACATCTGATTTAAAAAATGCCTCTTTATAAAGTGATTGATCCTTGCTATGTTCCAGCAAAGGTAATTTCTCTACTATTTATTACTATTATACTATTTATTAACGCTACCTGTATAAASGAAAGACAAAAATGTACAAATATAATCAGGTCAGTTTTATACAAAAAACAAAGATGAGACTTCCCATTATGTTTTAATTTTTTTGTTAGTTTTTGTCTCCAGACAAAAGAAGACTGGAAAAAGCAAACACAACTCTTTCAGGATTTAGGATTAAGTCTTTGTGCTTTCTTCTTTACATGGAAAACTAGGTATCATGAAATCATCATCATCATTAGCAGCAATCAAGAAGAGATTTTCATAAATCTTTCCCTCTTGGTAGTTAACCTGCAACAAATTGCTTTCTCCTATGTAATAAGGCAGTCAAAAACTGAGTATAAGGAATCAGAATTTGGTAGCCTAAAATTTTTTTTGTCTGTTTAATTGTCTTACGCTACTGATTATTAACCATAAAGACTACCAATTGTTCCAGTAAATAATTATTTTTCTACTTTTTTTTGAAAAAACCCACAAATTTGGCAATTATGTTAGCTAAAAAACATAAGAATTTTTAATGGATTCTAAGTGAGTGGTGTAGTATCATTCTACATCTATTATTAGAGCAAAAAGGAGAAAAGCTAGCCTTAAACTCTACCACTGGAAAAAAAAAAAGATCTGGTCATGCCAAAGTTTGTAAATGGAAACTGGATATAAATATTGTTAAATATGTTAAAAAAGGAACCTCTTTTTTTTTTTTAGTTTTATTTAACTCAGGAGAACAAGAAGGGAGAAATTAAGCTTTAAATTCCATCAAAACCTCAGAAATGCCAAGAAACCAAAATTAAAGGCTATTCTTGATTATCCTCAAAACGTCATTTTTTCTAAGGCACTGCTGAAACACATGGATAAAGAGTTAAACTTTCACTTTTAGTGAACAAAAACTGAATAAAGCTGTGCAAAGTTGTGAATTCCCTTTAGACAGAACATTTTAAATACCAAGCTGAAAATACGAAGAGAGCATTAATCTAAAGATTCTTTTTAGAATCATAGCAACATAGCAAACTACACTGCCTCCACCTCAGAAAAAAATAAAACCTTTTTTTTGTATACTACGTAGTTAGTTTCTAATCAGGAAAAAGGCAGTGGGAAATCTATATATCAAATGAACATGAACTCTTCCTGCACTATGGCATAAGAGGTTTATCAAATCGGTGCTCCTGCAAGAGATGGGATGAGATTTTTTTTGTTTGCACTCACTTAATATAAGAATAGATTTTCTTGGATGAAAACAATCTGTTTAAATGAAAGTTTCTTGTGGCTAGATAGAAGGTCAGAACTGTGAAGGAAATAAAATTGTGCCTGCAGATTGCAGATGYTACAGACACTGGGAAACCTCTGATGTATTAAGGAATTTCAGGGACACCAGATGGACATGCTTTGATCTGCTGAGCATTTGTGCTCCCCACTGAACTGCTTATTAACTTCAGGACTACTCCAGAAGTCTAATGAAGCAAATAAATAAACTTACAGGAGTTTCTTCCTCCTTATCAGATGCATCAAGCCTTTCACAGTTTCATTTTCAGTAGGATTATGGGATGGAAGCCATAATGGAGATGTTACTCAACGGAAACAGCTGAAATAGCTTAGTTCTGCTTTTGCCATTAATTTGTGCTTAGGGAGACATTTTGAAGTGCAAGTGCCTAATGAATGAGAGAAATGGCTCTACAAGCAATGCAGTGTGACATTAAAATTGCTTAGAAAGTTAAAGAACTCACAGATTCTTTTCTGCTCATAGTTTTGCTCTGCGAACGGGAACGGGAGATTGTACTGAAAAAGGAATCCTTTTTTGATGCAGACAGAGGAGGAGATGCTGTAAACTCACGTCCGCCAGACAAGCTCTCTATGCTTGGAGATGAACTGATGTTTTTTGAATTTTGGCCTGTAAAATAAGCAAAAAGTAACAACAAAAAATCAATGGGCAATTCCTTTTTCCAGTAAATATTTCCTGTCTCAATTGACATTCAGTGAGATACAGAGACAGCTCAACACGGAATGAAATTTCGAAGTGTGTCAGCGTGCATTATGAGACTGAAGAACTATTCTGATATACACAAAACTCTATGCATGAGAAAAAGACAAAATCTTAGCCTGTTAATATATGGATATATATACACACACATACCTACATCATGAATTTTTATACATAGTATATTGATATATACTGTATTATATCCATAGACTGAGGAGTTTCTTCTTTATCTCATAATGAGCTAAAGGACATCTCAAAGGAAACAAAATCCTTTTTATCCATCAACTAGTAAGCTAAAAAGCTTGTCAAACAAGACAGAGTACAAAAACATCACATTCAAAGGATGAGTTGGACTTTCAACATATAGATGACAACTAGACTTACATAAGGAAACAAAAGAGTTGGGAAAGAACCTAAGCTATCAGCTTCAAATCTTAAAGCCTAGCAGCTAAAGGAGATTTTAGTGAAGCCTAGTCAGTATTTGCTTATTGTCATTTTAAGGATCTTTTCTAAAGGATCTGGTGTTGTCCATTACCATCAAGAACATATCTGATGCCTGAGCTGTTACAGCATGACTCTTTGACAGGATCACTATTCCCAGTTGAGGCATACAAAGAGTTTTTAGATATTTAATTTAAAATACCACTTCAATAGCTCTGAAATTAAAATCAATCATCTTTTCTACTTTCCTCACATTCTTGCCCCAGAATCATTTTCTAATTTACGTGTGGTTTTACATTAAGTAAAACTTAGGAATGCTTTGGGGACCGATAGAATGTCATATTTTAGCAAAGAAAATGTTTATAAAAGAAATTCATATACAGTTAAACAGAGAATAAATTATAAATGCTAAATATACCTATAAAAACATTATTTGGTCAGAATAAATTACAACGAAAATATTTTATAATGTATGAATTAAACTAAATGAGCTTTGTATTAAAACTAATTGTATTAAAACTACTAAATTGTATTAAAACTAAAAATCACCGTATTAAAACTAAAAGCAAAGAGAAATGTTGGTAAATGAGTAGTAATGTACATTTTTCACAAACTTCTCTACTGCGTGGCCTGTATTTAACCTGCTTCACCTCTGAATAAGCAGATTATGTAGTAAGACTTCGAAGACATAGTTAAGACAATTATATATTAAAAACATATATAAATTAAAAATATGGAAATATATTAAGACAATAAATATTTTTGAAGAAAGCATGCACATAAAACACAATAAAATACATCTAGTAAGATAACAGAAAAATGTTTCTCTTAGTTCTAAAGAAAAGTGTCTGACAATACATTGAAAAGCCAGTGACCTATGCCATTGGTAAATGCTTTGCTCATTAAATATCTGGACTGCAATAGACAAATCACAGTTTAGAGATATAAAATATGCAACTACTTGCATATTTAATATATATAATGAGGATTTTACAGACAGAACAACAGTACTGTTCTGAGAGGGAATTTGCTTAAAAAATTAAAAACTTTGAACAATCTAACTCAGACGAACTATAAAAATATTATGAAGATAAAAAAATAAAAGCCACACGAGATGTTATGAAGCTAAGATACAGATGCAGAGACACAGGAATTATATATATAAAAAGAATTGCTGTGTATTTTATAGCCACATGGCAGATAGGAAGAAAGTTCAGGATGCCAATCAGTGGCATCTGACTGTTAAACACAAATAAGCAAATCTGAGAAATTTATTACCATGAAACCTAAAATTTTATGCTGATTCTAACCCTGTGAACACCACTGTGACATTGATTATTCGGGTGAAGGGATTACGAATTAAATCAGACAGAAAGAAGAGCACATATGAAGAATCACAGAGTGCGCTGCAAATCATAAAGCAAACTTGCATTTTAACGGGCTCTTCCAGTTTCCAAAGATATCATCAGTTTTACAACTGGAAATAAGAGCACTGAAAGTGATATGAATCATACATATTTTTCCTGATGTAACAAGCAAGCTATCCATAATTCTCGCACCATGGAAGTTTAGTGGAGCTGCCACATGGAGCGTTTGCATAACTGAAGTCACTGTAAGGCTTTTGAAAGCTCTTAGATGTGTTATGTGGGCACCCTTTCGTAGACATTAACAGCATTCATATAATTTTGGTAATACAGTAATGCCAATAGAGAGATCTCGGGGTTTTAGGGGGACTTTTGGAGGATTAAACACAAAATGCCAGTCGCACGGTCTCTCTGGCGCGTCTCGCTGGTTCAGCATGCTTAGTATTGACTGAACAGCCTGTCCTCCGTACTCAACAGCTCACAGATCATTCAATCGTGTTTAATTTTGGTGCATGCCTCAGGAGAAAGCAACAACTGAAAAGGATCCTTACCCATCATGTACAACCAACATGTATAATACGATATGAGAAACTACATTTAACAACTAGCTGAACATCTCCCATTCCTCTTTAGCGAGTCAGTCAATAACTTGAGAATACCAAGCAAAACTCATTTCCCTCTGCTCTTTCTACAAATCTCAGAGAAATAACTTAACCTCATTAAAAGAAGATTTGACTAGCATGTTCTTAATCTAATCTCTGACCATGTAACTATAAACCAGAGGGTTCTAAATTCCATACAGAACAATGCTGATATGAAAACAAAACAAATGGCCCATGTAACACATAACAAAAAGCTGAGGACTCCTGAGCTAAGTCACCAGTGCACAATACCACACAGGATGCCTTAAAAATGCATTATGCACTCCAAAATAGTCCACAATAACAATTCTTAGCATTTGGTGGGCTAAAAATACATACCCTCTGAGACAAAAAGGAGCAGCGTGACTTCCACGTGCTGGCCTGTTGCTAAAAATTGTTGGGACTCTGCAAGCCCAGGGCGACGAAGGCTGGTTCAAAGTCCTTGGGAAAACACCACCAAAGTGGCAGTGGGAAAAGTAGCAGAACTGCTGGCAGGGCAGCATTGGGGGGACAGGCAGGGAAATGAGGAGAGTTGAAATTTTGTGTGATCTATAATAAGCACCAAGTAAAAGATGTTGACAAGAGGAGTGAAAAAGACTAAGGGGAAAAAAAATAAAAGGCAAACAAGTTGTAGGTCTGACTACACTCATGTTAAGTTGCGGAGCCCTCCGGAGGGCTGACGAAGATGTGCACAAAAATGCACMAAATAGAGGCTGATCCTGATTTGGCCTTTCCAGGGGAAAAGAGCAGCTTCCATGGCTGAAGGACAGTGAAGGGCAAGATACCAAAACGGGCACAAGTCAGACCTGCTCTGTCCCACAAACCTTTTCAGAGGCAGTKATCTATTTCTCTGGGTTTGCCACAGTCAGGGCTCAGAGTGTTGAAGTTTGCAAAAAGAATGATATGATCATCAGAAAACTTCAAAACTTTARCTGAATTGCAGTTTCCCCTCTTTTCCTGCACTGACATTGGAAGGAACCTGGCAGGCAGGCATTCGTGTGCTTATTTACCAGGTTCGTTGCACCAGCATGTGTGTGTGTCAGTATTTCCAACGGAGGCAGATTAGCTTCTCCTTAACTCAGAGCACTACAGCAGACGCTCAGGTAAAAGACCTGCCTCTAAAATAACCACGGGGAAGCCACGCAACGAAAAGCGACGCTGATGCTCACACTGCCACACGGGACACGGCGTGAGGTGGAGGACGAGCCACACAGCGAACACAGCTCTTTCAACGAGGATGGATGCCAGCACACAAGGCGGGTAACTGGGGAGCTGCAGCCCTGCTCCTTGGAGCAGGGAGGGAAGCAGAGAAGCTGCTTTTTTTGTTTTTCTACCCAACAGTGCCGCTCGGTGGATGGACGATGGCAGTGAGTGGAGATGGAAATGCTCCCCGCTGCCCCAGCACCCGGTACCTGGTTGGGCTGGGAGCTGCCGCGCAGGGCCGGGCGCCTGAGCATCGCTGCCCGCAACTACATCCCCTGGAAACAGATCAACACGTTAGCAGCTTTGCCCGGCACGCGCAAATCCCTGCAGCAAAGACCTGCAGCTTCTGCGCGCGCTGCAGGGCGCAGAGTCCAACGCAGGGGATCTCGCGAGAGGGCTGCGTAAGGTTAGGCAAAAACCAACAGCAAGATTTAGGCATCAGCATATTATATGCCATACCCACAGGGAAAAAATAGTGCTTTTTGGAGGCTGATTTACAATAAGTCTGAGCTAAATCACGTCAATCAATCAAAAACATTTTGTTCCTGGTACTTCCCCCTGAGAGAGCTACCAGGATTTGGGAGTATCATATTCTACTTATTCTTGGTAACAGTTCAAAGTTAGCTAATGGTATGCATATTTTTATTTTAAAAAAAGGAAAAGAAAGGTTAATATTTTACAATATTCATTATTACTTATTGCTGCTAGCAATATGGACAACTTTTTCCTTCAGAAAAAGCTTACTTTTTTTCTAGATACACAGCTCATAAATAATTCTCAGTATTGAGTGCATTTTTTTGAGCGTATTAGGTGATTGAAAATTCTATTTGTGTTACAACAAATACCTCAGAAACTGCCACTGATAAAAGCGGACGGTAGTTTGGAAATTCCCTAAATAGCTGACCACAGTTTTGGCAGAACTTTMATTTTGAAATTGGTCCTCTAACACGTCCTTGTGATAGAGTGGCAGTCAGGTCAAATCAAAGGATGTAGAGTCAATATCACAGGGAGGAAGCAAAGGAGAAAAGTTTTGTTTTTTCTTAGCAGCACAGTGCCAGTGGGCAAGCAAACAATATGCAATTTCTGCATATCCATGAATCCTATGGAATGCAAAGGGCAACATTTTATTTTTTTTCACAGACATTCTCATTATCAGTTTTCTTGTTACACAATGAACTCAATTTACAGTTCAATGAACTCAAGATTTGAACTTTGTCTTTGTGTCAGTGAATTCTTTCATTGTGTAGGATTAGGAGACTATTTTAATCCCTTTTCTATTTGCAGCCTACTTTGGACAAGTAATCAGTAATGATATCCACTGTGCTGAGAACTGAATAGGATTATACATAAATTTTTTTTGAGAAGCTGATTTCCTATTAGATATCAAGATACTTCATTCARCTGTGACTTGTAATGGTGAAGGCTGGTCTGGAGTTACAGCCTTGCAATTATGTTTTTTTTTAAATTTAATATTAGTCTGCTGCTTTCTGTTTACATTATCTATAATATATATGTATTTCTAATAAAAATTCAGCAAATACAAAAACACAACTGAGAAATAATTATTCCTGATTAGATAAGAAAAAACTTTCCTTATTTTACACACAGCAAAAGCTGTCCCATAAGGTAGAAGCATCAGTGTGGCATCTGCCACTGCTACTGGCTTGTGATCTGAGTGGCAACTGYGCCAAAGAAAAGCTGGGGAGGAACTGGGGATGGGCTTGCTTTGCCAGTCCAGCAAGACTTGTCTTTTCCAGTGACTTCCTCACACTTAAGGCAAAGATTAAGGCAGGCAATTTCATCTCTTTGAACTTAGCAAACCCTCTACAAGTTAAATTATCAACACTACTTGACCACTCAAAGGCTGAAAGGGMAAATATAATCCGAGAAAAATGGCTAAACTCTTCTATCGACTTGATGCCTCTCTGATTTAAAGTACTTTGGTCTCTTACATTGCCCACCTGAGCACGTGTGAGTATTARTTTTATTGCAAAAGGTCTACTGCAAAATTAGTTGTAGCAAAAATGTCTATCAATTTAAATCCTAAATCCATGCTTCTGCTCATCTTAGCTAAAGAAACAAGCTTCAGGAGGATAAGCAGAGCTCAAAACAAAATGATGAACAGAAACATAAAACAACTAGTGAGAGCAGTTTGACTCTCAACTAGCAGAAATAAGGTATGTTTCTATGTATGCTAGTTGACGTTTTAAGAGCCAACCTAGATCTAGACATTATTGCATTTGAATCCATCTATTAATGTTGCTTCACATTTTACTGTCTTTTCACCTGATAGAAGGAAAAGAATACCATCACCTGAGGACTATTCTTCTATTCAAAAGGCAAAACCAAAAAATTGTGTTTTCAGTTTCATGTTTGGCCAGCATTGAGGCTTGGCGGGGAACAATTTCTGAGACTGTTCTAAGATTCAGAGAGAGTGTTTCTTACTCGGATTTTGTCAGGCAATTGTAGAGACTTTTAATAATAATTATAATTAAAATGCAGTGGCAAGGGGCTCATGCRAACAAGCACCAGCCTTCAAACTCATGTGGTATCGCTCCAAATACTTGTGGCAAAAAAGGCTTTAGGATGAAAAGCAGAACTACATCTTGAGCCTAGCAGAGAATAGGAAACAACTACTGAAGCTGAGCTTGTAATTTTTGTTCATTCTGTCCTCAGGAAACATAAAGAAAAGCTTGGAAAAAAAGCGTTATTCATTAAACAGAGAAAGTTCAGAGGACCATCACAAATTATTAAAAGAATAACAAATAACAAATTATGTTATTGCTCACGTAACTCCTCAAATAAGTCCCTAACACTCTAAAGGGAATAAGATTTTGTTTATCATAAATCGTTCAGCAATGGACCTAACTTTTCTCATTTGTACTCATCTAATGTTGTACATGGACTAATATAATACATGGGATTTGTGCCAAGAATTTGTAAAAAACTAAATAAATTTAGTCTTGCAGCTTAAAAAGCATTGTATTTAAGAGACTGAAAAACTAATGCATACAGAGATAGCTAATGTCTATGAAAATGATGCTTGCTGACATAATTTCTTGTTAATATAGGTTTGAAACCTTCTGTGTTTGTACATTCCTGACAGTAACATCTAGTTCTGAATTACTCTACAAATGTGCTGGAGGATATACATACTATTTCCCAGTTTTTTTTTTTACCCCTGAGTCGTCCACACATGTATCCTTTTACAGAAAAACAATAAAAAAGGACTTTCCTTAGTCCTTAGCTTTCTTATGTCGTGCCAGTGCCCTGGGCTCGGCCTTTACCTTTGCCCAGCTGGACCGGCATGCTCTCGGACTTCATCAGCCTCTGCTGCTGTGCCTGCTGCTGGTGCTGCTGGTGCTGGTGGTGGTGGTGATGGTGATGATGGTGCTGGGGGGCTTCCCCCATTCCTCGGACAGGCATCGCCGTGCCCGGGAAGCCGCCGCTGCCGCCGGGGCCCGCGGCGCTCCCCGAGGCCATGGCCGGCGCGATGAGCTTTCGGCCAAAGTTGAGCAAGCTGTTGGAGACTTTATTAATGTTCAGGGGGGCAGCCTTGGCACTGGCACTGAAAAATAAAAACAAAATAAATTAAAAAAAGCCCGGAAATTACCACATCCTTGACAGGATACTTTTTTTTTCCCAAAAACTTGGGGAAAAGAACATTATGAGGTAGTAGATAAATACTTTTGGCCATTTCTTCCTGGAAGAAAAGCAGATGAAATGCAAACAAAGCCTGTTTGAATCAATTTTCTTGTTTGCTTTTTTAAATGAGATAAAATGGAGATGTGCTAAAAAAATTCAATGAATGCTTTCACTTTTAGTACTTCTTAAAAGGACTGCTTTACTTACTTTACTTACCTCCATTTAATTCTCTTGAATATAAACTTAACTCAAACCCACACAATTCTTTCATTTCATTCATGTTTTCAGGCTGATCAAACTTTGCTCTAATTTCACTTTTTGCCCTGTCTAGACAGTTCGGGCTAAGCACTTACAGCAAGGAACCTAGACATCAAAAGTGATTTTGGCTGAATAATTGCTTCAGGATAGAAGCCATCCCCTGGATTATGATCCTTAACACAGTTTCTCTTTATTTTTAACTACAGTGGTTATTTAATTCACTTCAGTTATATGCAACATTAACAATGAAGAAATTGTCAGACCATTTAATCTGTTTAAAATAAGGAGGTAAAGATTCCAGCTCCCAGTAGAAGCGTTCACATAATACAAAGATCAGCAAAGTCATTTCTATTTGTTCATGCAATATATTCTTGTTTTATACAGTTAATAATTGAAATATCTTTCACAGAAATGTATCAGTCACAGAGACCATTCTATATATACCTGAGGTTTTATTTTAATGATCTATTCTTCAGTGATATAGATCTGTGTTTAAAAAAAAGACTGAAGAAATATATATAAAATGAAAACAAGTCAATCATTGTACTGGAGAAAATATTTTACTTTGCTTTGTGGAAGTTTATTCAAATATAAATTACAAATGAAGTAATATGGCTGATGTGCCACTTGTGCATGCACCCCATGAAATAAATTTGGCTTTGCCTTTCATATCATCTTCCTATTTATCTCCAGAACACATATTTTTTAAATATTCAGTAAATACACACAGATATATTTCAAAAATAACATCTAAGTTGTTTAGGCCCAGAAGAGGCAATGTTAAAAAGAGAAGCACAAGAAGGGAGGTGAGTTTGCACTCTCATGAGCTACAGCCCTAAGCCACTTGAGGCCCTTTCCCATATCAGAGATGCGTAAGCAAGCACGTAGGAACAGCAGTATGGAGACTGAAAGCATTAAAACTTGTCTCCCGTTAGCCTTACCCCTTTCTATTGCTGCAGCCGCCAACTTAAGGGGGCTGGAAAGAAAGATTTGCTGAATACTGACTGTAGAACATTTTCCTGTCTGCCGTCTCTGACATTTTATTGACTGTCACTGATATTATAAAATGTCTTTCTATAGTCAACCCATAATGACTGACAAAATAGCTATGGGAGGAATATCTTCAGAACTATGGAGCACACTTGTAGGAGTCCCAAATGGCCTCAAAAAGCAAATTCAATAGCGCTAAGGATATCATAGAAGAGGGCATTTTATTATTGTAAAATTTTACTCTGCAACTACCTAGCAACTTGGTTGTTAATCACTTCCCTAAGGTATCGCAGAGACACTTCAGGAAAAGAAGGGAATGTTTTTCTTCCCTTACACATATGAGGCATTAGAAGAGTCAACATAGGGCCTTTTTCTATCCCTTCCCTTCCCCTTCCCTTCCCCTTCCCTTCCCCTTCCCTT